GGCGGGCGCCTGCCATCCCCTGGGGCCGTCGGGGGGGGTTTAGGGACGGCGGCGGGATATCGGGGAAGAGGATGAGAGCAGCCCTAGGCGTGTGGCAGGGCGAGCAGAGCCGCGCAGCCCTGCTGGATCTAGCGGTGGCGAGTGATGGTGGGGAAGGGGATGTGGGGTGCAGAGGGACCAGCGGGGAGCGAAGACGAGTTGAGACCTCTCAGTGCTGAGCCTGGTCCTGCCTTTCCATCCCTGCGAGACCCCTGCACCCTCCTCCCTCAGGGAAGGTCCTGGTGCTGGTCGCCTGTTTGCACTCTGGCTGGGCACGCCCTCTGGGTTTGTCAGAAGGCAAATCCAGGCTGGTCAGTCGCTTCCCCCACCCCAAGGAGCCAGCTAGATCCTGTTTTGGACTTTTGCCTTGCTCAGTCCATTCCGGTCCTGCTGCTGTACTGCTATGGGTTGAGGCTCATCTAGAAAGAGTATAATCTATTTGCAAAAGAAGAAACTAGTGTTTGCTGCATGCTAAGACTGTTGTAAACTTTAGATTGTTCTTGGGACTTCCTTCCCAAACGCAAACTTTAAGCTACAGAAGGTCTAGGAAAAGCCAACTGTTTGATCTATGAGGAAGTAGTCATATGTGCATGCTAGCCATTTCATTGCAAGTTACTAAGCATACTGTTATGTACACACGGCAGCTTTTGTCCTAATCCCAGAAAGCTTTTTATGAAGCATTGCTATTGTGTATTAATAAAAAAAAAAAAAGCCACTGAAATGCATCCATCTCTGAGTTGGGGGACATGACCGCTACATAACAGAGAACAACAGAATGATTCACTGACAAAAAAACAGAAAGTCAGGCAGCAGCAGCATTTATTAAAAACAGATTGAATTTTCTTTTTGGCTAAATACCCTTGGCTGACTGAAATGAAGTCAGGGTGGCAGGAATGCAGACGTCTGTCATAGAAGGAGTGATAATACCTTATTTATGTGTTTCACTTTTATTTAAAAAAAAATCTACATTTTTTACTATAGGAAGTGGCGAGGGGTAACAGTATCAGTCTCTTTTCCTCTCTGGAGGAACTGAGGAATAGCTATATCTCTTTGCTTCCCTGTCTGGTGCCTGCCTGTGCTATGGAGCTTACTCTACTGAATCCTGGAGCCTGAACTCCTGTCTTGAAGATGAGGACCAGATAACTGTCTTTGAAACAGAAAAAGCTCAATCAAAAGGAAGAATGGAGGTGAGTCAGACCCAGCCAGCAAGCCCAGGAAAGCACAGCACCAGAGGAGGGAAAAAATGAAGAAACAAGGGACTGTTATTTTTCTCCTCTCAGACAGAAGACTAACTCAGTTTGTGTAAATACAATTTTAAAATGCATAGAGGTTTGTAGAAAACCCATCTGTTATGATTTGCGGTGGGATGAAATAGCCATCAATTCAGCAGAAGCATTTTCTTCTCTACAAAGGTGAGTATTGATTCAGGGGAGGACTGTCAATTCTCACATGCACACTTCTCCACGTAGAGATATACACGTGTCATTTTACAGGCAGATGAGTGTGACTGCTGTCACATCTTTTGGGAAGACAGAAAAGGGGAGCTGGTTCTTCCCTCACAGGCAAGCCACTGCTCCCACCACTGCAAGCAGCAGTTTTTAATTCAAGTGTTGCTTCTGCCGGCCCTTCTGGATCCATCAAACTGATAACCTCAATATGCCATTCACCTGGTCGTGGATCTCCTGGTTCTGCCCTGAGGTGGCACCTCCTCAAGCCGTTCCTGCGTTACATCTTCATTTCCTTTGTAATGTTGTTCGGGTCATCTTCTATGTGCTGACATAAGAAAAAAAAAAAGGTGTGCCTTTTCCTCAGCAAATCTGTAATCTTTTCCTTCCTGAATCCTGAATAACAGACCTGCAAGTTGGTTGCATGCAATGACATCAGCTTTTGTAATTTAAAATATCT